GTAGTAACAAGTGCCTTACTAGTAGTAACAAGAAGCTACTATTAACAAGTGCATCGCTAGTAGTAACAAGTGCCTTACTAGCAGTAACTATATGTGAAGATGTGAACGCAGATACTTGGTGTTGAGGCCAAAACACTTCAGGTTGCCGTCCCAGAGAAGATGGACCTTTTCCGCTTGAGAGCTGCAAGGATCACTTCCAAAGCCTTGGAGCATTGGTTTTCTCGTTGATGTGGTTTTCAGATGACTCATATATGCGTGGATCGAGCGTGAACGCTTGACTCGTGCCGCTCGAAATATTTGTTGAAGCGTGATAGCAGGAGCAGTGCTACCTTGGTGTCACAACCATTGGAGGCCTTGAGCGAATGGACCTAGAAGCTCTGCAACAGCCACAGGATTCGTTGCAGTTGCGCAAGGCAAAGTCTTTTTTTATCAGGTCGCTCAGTCACCTAAGCCACAAGCACAAGAGTGACTTATTATTAACTGCTGCAGTGCTTGGCACTTGACCAGGCTTCCTGCCAAAGCCGGTCCTTGGCCGAAAAAAAGATGTGTCGGTCGTTCAAACGCTGAGCGTCGGTGGCAGGACCTTTCGGTAGCTTCGCTCAGCTGCGACTCTCCGGGGCGACGTCGCTCGCTTGCTTCTGGTGCTCCAGCCAAGGTCTTTTGGGACTGCAAGCTTGACCTCTTTTCGTGGCTTTCGAAGTGGTCTGAGGAACTTCTACAAGAGTCTTAGAAAGCGAACGTGTTGAAGATTGTAGATTTTCTTTCTGTGGATGCAGTCAGTCGTGGCCCATGTTCTTTTTTTCTTTTTTCCCCGGCTACCTTCAGATCCGGATTGACCAATTGGGCAGGAGAAGAAGCAGTGGTGCTGTGAACATTCTCCGGATGCCCACAGAATCTGCTCCAAGACCAAGGTGTGTTGAGCTTGTGGTCTAAACATAGATCGTTGCTTGCGTTGGATGGTGCTGGTGAGCTGTTGAATTGCTTCCATGCATTTTCAAGTGGCAGTCTCCGAGAGACAGTAGATAACACTCATGCCCAACCACGAATGACGGGCTGACATTTCATCCGTGGTCAGGTCAACAGCGATGCTCGCTATTGCGAAGCCACTACTGCAGGGGGCGTTCCATGCAATTTTCCATTCAGCTGGGGTGGAAGAAAGCCACTCGGATCTGAAGTCTTGTCCCTCTTCTGCTTTGATTGAAGGTACCAGCAATTCTCATGGCTCTTGAGATGTTTTACTGTTTGACCCCATCCATTTCCGTTTGATCCCATCAATTTTGAGGCACTATGGGCCTGGGGCCTCAGCTTCCGTTTTGAAACGCTTCACTGCTCGATTGCAGCAGACAAATTGCTCTACCTGCATGTAGGTGCGCAGTGAAGGGCAGTTGGATGGGAGGCAAGCCCAAATTGCTGTGAAGTGAAGTGTAGTTGTTCGTTAAAGATTTTTGATGTACCAGAATCGCTTTGGCCAGGTCGTCCCTGGTGCATGCGAGTAGATGGCAACTGGGCCATGTGCGACTGCAAGGCTGAGCTCACTGTTTTGGAGAACTGGGACATGTAGGACCTTTACAGCCGAACGAAGCCTTGAACGAACGAACCTTCTGTACCGCGGTACCTCGACAGGGATCCAAGATCAGCGACTTGGTCTCCAAAAGCGATTCGCTCAAGCCACATGCGCGGTGCCCAGCGATTTCTCACGTTGGAGTTGGTGGAGGACCTGTTCGAGTCCGAGTTGGTGCCCAAGGACGCTGGGCCTCCACCTGTTCCGGCCATTGACCTCGATGATTTGGGCCTTCATAGCGTGAAGCCTTGCTTCTTTGAGAAGAACAAGTGGTGCTCGGGGACCTAGACAGGTGAAGGGCAAACAACGAAGTGATGTACACAGGAAGGCAGAGGAAACAGGAAACACCAGATTCAGGCCCAGATGACTGGCTCACTGGAGGGAGTGGCGGCTATTTTTGCCACTTGGTTCAGATTCTTCAGCTCTTGTTGAGATCGGAACTGCCATTTCTATGCTGAGAAAGAAACACCAAACAACGAGAGGAACCTTGGCGGTTTCAGGATTCGTTGCCCCCGGCCCACTGTGGCTTTTTGCTGTAGGAGCAAGAAGCTACTAGGAACAAAGGGCATCGCTACGAACGGAGCTAGGACGCTACGAACGTAGCTCCTGGCATTACTACTAGCGCTGATGGGGCACGACGCCGTGGACCCCGATGGAGCCGGAGCTAAGGCCCTGAGCACAAAGGCTGTCGATCCGCCGACAAGGGACCCTTTCCCGCGGAAGACTGTGAGGACGGCCGCTAAGGTTTCTCCTTTGCCGCGGTTTCGGGTTGCTGGTTGCTCCGTACTTGGTTTGCCCGAGAGGAGCAGTGCTCCCTTGGCAATGTCTTCATCCCAGGCAACATACTACTCTGCTTTCATTCCCATTCGGAACGCTTTCGTGTGTCCTTGAAACCCAATGAGTGGGAGATGCAAGTCCATTTCGAGGAAGCTTTTCCATGTGTATTCCCATCATTCTATGCCCTGCTTCCCAATGTTTGAAACATGATATGATTGTGGTCAGGCGGTGGGGACGTTGAAGCTCCTTGGCATGATCTGACGATGGTTTGTGATACCTTAACTTGCCTTCATGGTCCAGTTTCGTTTTCGTGCGGGGGGCCAAAGAATTGCTAAACATATGCACATTCCATCATTCAAATATGCACTGGATCTGATCACAGGTGCCCTTCAACTGTCTGCGACATTTGGCCTCCTGGAAGACTCACTGGAGCAAGAAGAAGAAGGAATGGTGCTGCAAAAATTCTCAAGAAGGTCATGCAGCCTGCGAAGACCAGGAGAGATGAGGATGCATGAAACCAAGCATTTTCACCTAACAAAGTGATACAGAGTGATCCAGGTGATCCATTTCTGCTTTCTATATTTCCAAGTCCTCTCTTTTCATCATAAGAAACGACACACCCAGACACTGGCTTCGTGAAAGAAGAGGTTCACGTGTTGCGACTGAAAGGAAAACACAGCAAAGGTAAGAGTGAGATGGAATGTCCGAGAATGTTGGTCACAGGATGACTCGTCGTTTGGCGCTCTTCAACGATGTCCTCGGGATCTTCATACTTCATGTCGCTCAGCACAGGTGAGTCAGTTGCGTCAGGTGCCTACACCATCCTTATATACAGTAGATCTGAGAAATCCTGCAAACGACCTTGTGCACCTTTCCCTAAAGGTTTTGCACAAATATGATACCGCAGTGCAATAATTCAAGCAGAGCTCAGCGTGCATGATGGAAACTCGTTGGCTGTCACTCTTGGTAATGAGTCTTCTTTTCGTGCACATATGGTCATGGAAACAGATTGCCAACAGCATTCATCACTATGGGCCCAAAGCCGATTTTTTGGGACATCGATGGAAGCCATTGAAAAGCTCCAAAAATGGTTAATTAGCCATTGCTATCTCAATTGCTGTTCAAGAAGCATTCACACTACAAAGTTACAAAAGTTTCTCTTCACAAAGCTTCCAAACGTTGTGCTTGAAAATCTAGATCTGCCTCATCCAATGGTGATCTCAGGCCCTGAGGAGTGGCAAGGTCTGAATGCCAACATCGGCGGCTTCTATTGTGCCCTGTCCGAAGAATGCCACCTTAGTGGAAGAAACGGTTCAAAGACACATGTCTAAAGACAGTGTTCCTTATTTCGAAAGTGCACAAGGCAGTCACTGCTGCACCTGACTTTTACAAAACTCAATATTATATTTTTTCTATCTTTGCACACCGCAGTTGGATAAAGAAGAGTGTATTGAGATAAGAGCTTGAGTATTAAAAATATAATCAAGGGCCTTGAGAAAGAACAGGTCTGATCGAGTAGAATTTGTGTTGCGAGTTGTGATTCCACCATGAGATATTTGGCTTTGCGAATTTGGAAGTTGTTAGGATTCCCGGATTCCCCTGTGAATCCCAATGTTTGAAGAGCAAATGAAGATTATATGTCAGGTCCAAAATGCGTATATCTAACATTTTCTTCACTCAGGTCGCTCAGGTCACAGTAGCGGTGGCTGCCGCCCAAGTATGCAAGGGCCCTTCCCACTCGAGAGCTGCCAGGAGTTGATTGACATTCTACAGTTCTTAAGCCAGTTTCAAGTTGCAGCAGTTTTGTGCTTGGCAGACAACTTGGATTTTGCTGCGCAGAAGCCTCGACAGGAGCAGTGCTACATGGGCCGAGCAACCCTCGGAGGCGGTAGAAGAAAATGTGGGTACTCGCGGTGCGAAATCCCACGCTGATTCAGTGCATTTGTCAGGCTTTCTTCCAAAGCCGGTCTGGAGCTTTGTCAGACCCGGTCACATGTGAACATGATGTTTTTCCATTTTCATCCGACCACTGGCTGAACGTGGGGCACTGGTTTCGCGACCCGCGGCGTCCAGGTTTTCTGGGACTGTGCACTGCACCTCGATTCGTGGCAGTCCAGATGGTCGGAGGAGCCTCAAGGTTTTTGCTTAAGGTTCCTTTGAAAGCGCTCAGGCTTGCAGAATGCTTCACCTTGGGGGTTGTTGGTTTTCGGGCACCTGAATATGCCAACCAGGGACCGCTTGTTCAGAATTCCTTTTGCAAGTCTGCATCTGACAAGAGATGGAATGGATTCTGTTATCCTTGCTCCAGGAGAAGCAGAGTTGGTGTTGTGCACACTATCGTGGTGCGCATGCCGTGTGTGCCAAAATCACCGTGGCTTGGTAGCAGGCAATTTTGAATATTCCGGTCTGTGGGGGGGTAGAGGAACAAGAAGCTACTAGGGGCTCCTGGCCATACTACTAGGAGCAAGGACGCTACTAGGGGCTCCTGGCATCGCTACTAGGAGCATTCAAACTACTAGGAACAAGCTTACTACTAGGAACGTGCTCGACCTTTTTGTCGAACGCCAGGTGAGCCACCAGGTGCACTTCTGTGATGCCACAACTGCAGGAGGTGTTCCGTGCAACTTCCCTTTCCGCTATAGTGGAAAGAAGCGGCTTGGACTGCTGAGAATGACAGATGTACGAGTTATTGGCTTGAAAAGATTGTCAGGATTCCACAAGCGCAGTATACTACACAACAATTTGATGTAATGTTCTTCTATGCCAATGCATCAAGCAGTTGTAAAATTGCGCAGTCACTGCAGGCGCAAAGTTATGTTATGCAAGATATGCAATAAGAGCCAATTAGCATTACTAGTATCATGACAGACTGTGTGACGCTGTCAATTTGTGTGCAATCAAAACAACATAGTTGCAACTTGCAACATTTCCGGCTTTGCATTATTGCACCTTTGTTTTGAGGCACTATGGGTCTGAACCTCAAGTCGACCCTTGCCAAGCAAGTTTGCAAGAGACCTGAAGTTTGGTTTAGGTGCCTGGATAACAACTTCTTCTCAGGCAGCGATACCTGCCAAGGGACAGCAGTCTTTGTGAAAAATGCTGCATGCAGGCAAATCTGGCAGTTCGTGGTGTATGCGCGTGGATGGCCAGTGGAGCATGTGCGATTGTCAGCCTGAAGTTGCTGGGCCACAGAAACGCATGCAGACCGGCTTCGCATTCCAACAAGCTGGCCGGCTGCACTCCGGAAACTTGTGAACTCAGGACTTCGGCGTCCATCACACCGTTCACAAGGTCATTGAGGATATTGTGGTCAAACCCAACAAACTGTTTGCTGCTTGGAAGCGAGTGGATTTGGAGCCCTTCTGGAGCGGAATGGGTTATATAGTCAAAATGTAGCAATCCTTCAGCAGGACACCTGCTTTCCAAATATGCTAAATTGAAAAGCTTGTTCGCTGCAGCTTGAGGCTTGAGTTGTGTTGTTCTGTTCCTGTACAAACACTGAGGACAAGGGCGAATTTGCTCCTGGAATGTTTGCTGTAGATCCATGTCCATCAGACCTTGAGACGCAGTGCAATGACCCCAGGTTTCCTTCGTTTTAAAACGTCTTCCGGAGTCCTTGGCGGACTGGTGCGACTCGTGGGGAATAAGGGAATGACCCCTCCACTATAAGATACCTTAGAATCCATTCCCTCGTTCCTTACTAAGCATCAGTCAGTTGGGGTGCCATTGTGCCCAATTGGAACAGTGCCCTTCATGCCACTTGCAATCCTTCAGGTCCACAGGAATGGACGACCTCGGATTCGGGTGGTTTCTTTTGCCACTTGGTCTCCAGATGAATGCCAGTCGACGTGGCGTGTGTTTGTGGAACGAACGTCGCGAGTTTGGGGCTGCCATTCAGGCCATTCAGACAAGGGCTGCCGACCAGCGAATGAGGGGCCCTTCCCAGAAGAAAGCTGTCAGGCTCTTGTGAGTGACGGGTCTGGACACACGTCCGTGGTAGATCGAGACCACACCGTTTTTGTGCAAGCCAAAGTGAAACCCGATCGAAAGTGATACCATTTGTAAGAATGGAAGAATGGCATTGAGAGATAGGGATTTTGTGCCATTGATTCAGATTTCCATTTAGCCACCTGGACTCTGCTCCATGGTTGTTGAGTCTTGCCAGGTTTACTGTTTTTCCCGAAAGCATTGCGAAGGGTTCTTCCGGAAAATCCCTTGAACACTGACACTTCGACACTTACACTTACACACTGACACTTCCACCACATTCGCACTACATACACTGACACTTCGACACTGACACTTACACATACACACTGACACTCGGCAAGCACGCAGTGTAAGTAAGCAAGTGATGGGTACGCAAGCATGCAATGAGCATGCAAGCATGCAATGAGTAGGTACGCAAGCATGCAATGAGCATGCAAGCATGCAATGAGTAGGCCGAGTAGGCAAGTGTGAGTATGGAAAACTAGCACGGGAGATGTCCTAATGAAAAAACATTTCCCCACTTTATAAATTCTCTCTTAAAGGCGGAG